AAAATTGTTTACTAATAAAAATTAATCAATTACATTTATCTAGATATCCGAGATCGTCATGTATCTCGAATTATTACCGTAAATTAAATTTACATACAAAATAAAAGAATTAAACGAAAAATTAGTGTACATCTCCAATAATTAGAAGTACTTGGAGATACTTGACGATCTCGGATATGTAGATTAATATCATTAGTAAAATTTTCTTAATAAACAATTTTTACATTTTTTTCAAAAATTTTCAGATATAAGGGTACTAAACTTTTCGTCATCGTAAAGAGAAAAAAATCTCTATCAAATGAGCCTAACGAAAGGGTACATTGCCATTTGTTTTCTGAAATAAACACAATTGAATGCTGTCTTATTATGGCAAATAAAATTTTTAACAACTTTTGTATAAAATGTTTTTTTTATAAAGTTGATACGTACCAAAATATACAGTCTGTTTCAAAGTAAGCGCCTTATTTTTTTTAGCCACACTATGGGTAGTACTTTCAAAATATTTGGCAGTAATATGTCTTAGGACATTCTCTACACGATGGTGATATCACATTCTCAATTGGACGAATTATTTCAAAATGGTGACTTTCAACTTTTTTTTTTAATGGAATGCCATAATTTTTATTTTTTTATTGAGATTCTAAAAACATTCTTCTTACGATAGTACTTCGTTTTTTTTTTAAATTCATTTCTTTTCCCATTAAAAAGCAAACTAACATTTAAATCTAGTAGCGCATGAATGTTTTACTCCATTTTGCAATAATTTGTCCAATTGAAAATCTGGTATCACCATCGTGTGGAGAATGTCCTAAAACATATTACTGCCAAGTATTTTGAAAGTAGTACCCATAGTGTGGCTAAAAGAAAATAAGGCGCTTACTCTGCAACAGGCTGTATACTATATTCCATACATAATGGACAGCCTGTATATGGGACAATGTATATGTATTTTTATATGTATATTATTATACATATACATTTTCCCTAGACTTTTAGGTTTGTAGTAAGTGCAATCCATAACGGAACGGAAACTGATAAAATGAAGTCAGCTCTTTTAAACCGTGGACACGAAACCGAAACATACATAATATTAAGCACAGAATCACGAAAAAGTCTGTATTAATGTTTTACGTTGATTTAAAATCTAATGAAAAATTTGACACCAACATCTTCAAATACGAACCACTACATACCAAAAGAGCTACACCGCAATTTATAAGCGTAAATAATATTAAAAATTAAAATGTGTATCAAGTTTAACCCATGCTAATACGACAAATTCAACCAGGAGTATCATATGCCCAAGCACTAGATTATCAAAGCTAGCTAAGCGGCTAAGCTTGAAGAAATAAACTAGCTGAATGGCAATACAACCCAAGTATAAGATTATAGCGTAATAATAATAAATAATATAAATAGTAATAGCGTCAATTAGCAATGGTAATTTTCTACGCTTTTACAAATAGATGTAAACCTGATCGTGTAACTTCAATTGTAATTTATTTTTACTGGTCTCGTTCTATCTTCGTTGCACTAGTATACAGTTACTTATATGACATTTTCCGCTATAATTTGTCCTCACCAGTTGAAAAAAGAATAAATATACAATTGTCTTTTGTGTACAAACTATATGTTTCCCACTTTGATGAAGCTCTAGTTAGCTCGGTTGTGATGGTGTGTATCGATTTTTTGGAGAATATGGATTATGTTATAGTCAAAGCTTGGCATTACACGATTTACGAGCAAAAAATTAAATCGCTAAAACGAATTTAAGTATTGCACAGCCTCTCCGCATATGTTATTCAAAAAGAGTAAAGAAGATTAGAATACATAGTACGAGACAAATTCCGGACATGATAGACTTTTCACCATTTCTGCATTTCAAGATGTACAACTATCATCTACATATCTTTTGACCTTTTCGCAATATGATTGAGATATTTCAACACCCCGGCTATGAGGTACTGACAAGGCTAAAGTTTGCATTCAATTTCCTCTATGGCTCTACATAGAAGCCTGCTCTCCTCCAACCCCGAAAGCCCAGATGATCTAATGCGTAAGCGGTTACTGCGTGTTCCCAGCGTAAATGACACACACACTGCCGATTGGAAAACAACCAGAGCAATGATTGCTGCGTTACTACCTTCAATCAAACCGCTGTTTTTAACCTGGACGAAATAAGGGACCATATATGTACCCTCAGAAAAAGGAGAGCACCGAGTCAAGATGGCGTCAAAGCAGAAATGTTAGTTGTTGCATATGAAACTTGTCCAGAAGTAATATAAAACCTTTAAATAAGTGCTTTAGGAATGCATATTTCCACAAACTTTGCAAAGTGGTATACATATTAAGTTATATTAAGTGCTACAGTCCTACATATCTTTATTCCCAGTAATGAAGAAGATATTTGAGAAGCTCTTGTGCAAAAGAATAAGGCCTTATTCGGAGCAATGAGATACAGAAAATATTAACCAATATGGGTTCACAGCTGGACGATGTACATTTGAAAAGATCAACGATGTTTTAAGAACAACGAGTTTCAACAAGTTTCAACGACGTATGTTTTAAGAGTGCTATTGTATATTGTTCTGAGACGCCTGTTGGAAATAGATGTGTCACCAAAAATATATAAAGCAGTTAGTTCTTTCCTATCCTTCAGTTCCTACTTTACGGACAGGAGAATACTGCTTAACAGTAATGTTGGGGAGGATGCTCACAAGAGGTTACCCCCAGGGCTCGGTACTGAGTCCAAGGTTTTGGAACCTAATTTTGAATGAGCTTCTGGTGGTGCAGACCCCGGGAACAAAAGCATTAGCGTATGCTGATAATCTAATTATAATAATTGGAGCAGACTACTGACGATCGCTAGAGGACATGGCGGCGTATTATATGCAGAGGGTGCAAAATTGGATAAACAAAAGTCCTACAGGTCTCCTTTCCTGCATTCGTGCATTGAGTGCTCTTTTTGGAAGTTTCTATTTGTATTCCTGTTTCCGAGTTGTTTCCCTCTGAACAAGAAATAGTCGAAGTACGGTGTCCAAACATCTTTTAATAGTAGATATTTTCCAATTGATAAATTTTCTAGTGGAACCTCAAGGTCAATCTCATGTTGGACTTTGACCTTACCTGCTAATGCTTGGGCGAGAACCTTATTTTCTAGGTCATTTACTACAACTAATGTGAGAACTTAACTTCTATTTACCAAATGACAAAATTGTTTTGTCAATCACGTAATTATTTATATTTAGGAGAATATTTTAAAGAAAATACGCTGATTGTCGTTGTCATAGTGGTAAACCACCTCTGGGTTCAGTAACTTATATTTTCATGTACCTCAAAGGTTACATTGACAATATTCACATTTCTTAAACCTCTGGTTTGAGTAAGTACGAAACCTCGATAAATATACGTTCAAAAAATCCAGAAGTAATTCTTAAACATTTTCTGACATTTTTATCATTTGATTTACCTGGAAAGATATTTTGTGGTCAGAGCAACCTGAAGGAGATCAGCTGATTTCATTTGTCTGCTGAATTCACTCTGCAACAACGAATTGATTTCAGTGGCAGGTTTGGGCATATTCATAACGAAGTAGCTGTATAACATGCTTAAACGGAGTTTGAAATTATTTCGCTTATAAATATGTTGCGGGATATTGCAATTTCATGCACAGCGTATTGGAAATTGAGTTGAAAAATAGATCAAAATCTTGCAAAAAATCTATCAAATCTTAAATAATACGTATATAATAAGAATTCCTTACAAAAACATAAAGTATATCCTACTTCATTAGTAATTATGATTCTGTTTAAAATTACTAAAAGCTTTTCGTGAAAGTTGATTAATGAAACCAGAAAACAATATAAGTTCTTAATATAAAACAAAATTATGACTGGCCAACGCGTAACGAAATTTGAAGCAGGTGTTGTAATATACGACTTGCGCAGTATGTGTATTTAAAATTAAGTTTCAATATAAAACGAGTTGAACTGATTTAGAAAGGAGAAGCTTAACTTTAGCTCAATTTTTAACCTAGTCAGACATAAATAAAATATTTCTTTGTTAACATCGTTACATATTTCAACGTTAAATAAGGTTTATTGTAACTTTTTAATAATCAATTTCGTCTTTTTATAAAGTTATTGGAAACTTTATAAAAAGAATAAAATTGATTATTAAAACCGTCAAGTTTCTTGGATTAATTAAACAGAATTATTTGATTATCTAACCTTATTCCTTAATCCGCTTATTATAATTTTTTTTTAAATTTTATTCAACGTTCTTTATGGAAATCCAAATCCTTATAAATGTCACGTTCTAAATAGATTTTAAAGTTATATGTTTTTCTTGTTCTTTTCATACAAACTACAAAACTATTTTAAACCTTTGTAAGCCTCTCAATAGATATGGTCGTTTTATATCTGCCTAGGGTTATAAAAAGTTACGGTTCACCTCCACTAGACTTTCAGAATATTGCTTTGAGTTTGTTCGAATTACATGATACGCCTTAGTGTAGGTCACTTTATGTATGTTACTACGGATATTCAAATACAAAATTATTTTTATATAAGTGAATTTGTTGCCAATACTTTTAGGTTAAAGTTAAATTACAATCAAATTTTTAAATCAACTCTTAAATTTTATTATAGTACCAGATTACGATGTGATCGCCGAGATTGTCGAAGGTTGCCCCCTTTTACGAATACTGCTAATTGGGCTATAAACACTGATATGCTTGAGAAGCCTACTAACAAGCTGGTTAAGTCGCCCCCTTTTCCCCATAAATAACCTGTATATGACTAAAGATTTTCTTTCATTTTAACCATATTTTTATTGTTTCATGAAAGTTATGTCATTGAAATTGTAGTTGAACTAATCTAATCTACTTGTTAAATTTGGCTGCATCTGATATAAGTTTGAAAGATTGGCTTCTAAGATTATCTGCATATCGTAACATGTGCACCAGCTGGAATTGATCTGATTTCCTTCCATCGTTTCAGACGGTCTCCGTCACAGTTTCCGTCTTGACGCTGACTTTCATCTCAATCGATCGCTGGTACGCGATTTGCTACCCCCTCAAATTCAAATCTACCACGAGCAGAGCGAAGACGGCTATTATTATGATATGGATGCTGGCACTCTTATTCGGTGAGTATTCCCCCAATTTATCTCACTGTACTCCAGTTACATATCACATTTTCGACGAATCCATTACATATAGTCATTTATCAGGAACGTTTCTAGAAAATAAATGATCCCTTTTTAAATGACATATAATATTGGCTCATCTTATGTTGCAGATATTCCCGAACTGATTGCTTACGAAACTGCGGGGAGCGAAGAACTCAAAATTGATACCATTTACTTTACCCAATGTGCACCTAATTGGTCGGAAGGCACCGAAACCACTTGGAACATCGTGAAATTGGTTTTATTGTACCTAATTCCACTACTTTTTATGACCGTTACGTATTGCCAGATTGTGCAAGTTCTCTGGAGGTCCGGAACTGTAAACCATCACCCATTAAGTACGTAAATTAAAGCGTTTAATTAACATTGTAAATGTATTTAGAAATGTCACGAAAATGTGTTAAAAATGGATATAATTGGGTATTATTTGAAATAATTATTGTTTAACGTCTTTATATATTAATTAACTAAGATATTAATTAACTTCAAGTTGTTTGAGAATATTATACGAACAAAGAGTGATTTCAATCAATTCACTTTGGAAGATAAATTATCGCTTGGCTGAAAGGCAAATTTCTCGGAGACAAATTACTGCAGAAATTGTATTGAATTTAAAACGAAAACGTCTGGATTCTAATAATATAAGATGATTAATTTTTGATCTTGACGAATAGAGAAAAAAATTTTAAAAAATTTCAAGTAATTTCTTACATATCTTATATTTTTACACTATAGTGTGGATAAATCTAATTTAAACGGAAGTACTGTTAATTTGTTATATTCTTTTACAGAGAAGGAAGAATTTAAAATATTTCGTTATCACCTAATGCAATCTCATTGGCTTGCTTCCTTTTCGACCAAACCATTCAACTTTGAATATAAGTTTAGCAAATTCTTTGTGTAGACTTAACTCCATACTGGCTTTATAAAGATCTAAAGTATTATATTATAAGACCTATTAAAGATTAAATACTAATTTCAACCAATTAGCAGTCCATAGCATTGGTCATCATCTTATAAAACACCAAAAAATCAACTATAAATATTATCAGGCGCCATGTTATTCCTGTAGCGAGTAATACGTCTCATTTATTAAAAAAACATTAACCTTCTTTCTAAAAGTTTCATATTTAGTTGTTGCTTTAATGGAGGTAGCCAGTTTATTATATAATTTAACTAAACAATAGAATGGCGACTTCTCGAACAATGCTGAAGAATGATGCTTCAAAAGTAGTCCTACGATATACTTGCCACTGTCCAAATTATCATAAACAAATTCAACAAAATCAATTGAAGCAGTTTCCGTTGATCTACCTCGTCTAAAATCATACTGGTTATTAACAATTAAATTAAATTTATTCAGATAAGTTAAAAGGCGATCATCAATAACTAATTCAAAAATCTTCGAAAAGACACGATTTATAGATATAGGCCGATAGTTGTTAATCTCAGTGAGCGACCCCTTCTTATGGACTGCAACGACTACTATTTTTAATATTGTTGTATTCGTTATCATTTTATTTAATACTATTTTTAAGACAAGTACGAAATATTTCATTGAGAACGCTAAAATTTAAAAGTTCCGACAAAGGGCACGAAATGTCATGACGCATAGCCTTCGCAGCTCTTACAGACACCACATCACGGCCAACACTACCAATATTTTTCAGTCTCATAATAGCAAGTAGCACTTCAGACTCTGAAATTAGACAAAAAAGAAGCTTTGTACTATACGCTTGGGTTCATTCACAAAGAAACCACAAAAGTCCTTTACAACTTGATTAGTGTCGTTTACCACAATATTCCCCTTAACAAGAACGACACTGTCACCTACACTCGCAGTGACAAATTTCCACAATTCCCTAGAACTATTGTTCGAGTTAATCACCCTACTTTTTACATAGTCTTGTTTAGTTTGCTCTAAAAGTACATAGTCTTGTTTAATGTTGATGCACAGTTAATAGAAAAATGGTGAAAACTTGATCTGACTTTATACACAGTTGAGTATATGCAGACTTGATGAAGACTTAACACAGACATAATACACGTTTAAAGCGGATTTGATGGAGTCTTACTGAATTTATCAAGCCAAGAGAAATATTGGAGATGTTCTGCAGATTTGAAGGAGTCTTGATGCACTTCAAAATAAATTGTTGATACAAACGAGATAAAGGTATGATTCAGTCTTAATGGGAACTTAAAGTGATAGAAACATGTTGTAGACTTGATATGAAATGTTATCGATGAAGACTTGATGGAGACTTCTTGTAGGCAAAGTACTCTCTTAAAGTATACATGATCGAGGCATAATGCAACTATCAAGTCAGAGGCATAACAGGGATTTAATACAGACTTTAAAAAGTAGATGCAAACTCTACAAAATATCAAGACTTGATGGAGTCTTGACTCTGTAGAAACTTGGCTTAACAGAATCGTCGTGACTTGATGCAAGCATGATAGAGAACATTTAAAGAATATTTGATGGAGATGGTTTACGGGCCGTATAGAGATTTAATACAATTTTGAAGGAATCTTGATGCACTCGTTGATGCAGCTTTGGTGAGGACTTCTTGTTTTCATGACAAGAAATCTTGTCATGAGGTCATGAGGATTCTCTACAGACTTGACTTGATATAAACATGTTGAGGAGTACATACAGGGATGGTGTAGACCTTATATAGACTTGACTCGATGCAGACTTGTTAAAGACTTGATGAAGGAATAAAACTAGCCTTTCAAACCTTTATATAAGTTAGTCTTTCTCCATTGATCTTTTAAACATATCAACTACAGAATTTACTTTCATTGTTTTGATACTACCTTAGTGATTTGCATTACAACTTTCTTTATGATTTTTGTATCATACATCGTATTCGTATGTTGTTGGGCACACCATTTTTCACATGTTTTCCACAACAGGTTTGGAAAAATCACTCGGCGATCCAATTCGTCCCACAGGTTCAGGTCAGTCCATTCTATCGCTGTAGCAATGTGACATTCACTACATGACAGTTATCGTTGTCGTCCTGAAAGTAACGTGGGTCCACTCCATAAAACTATCAGAACGTAGAAAGGGCATTGTTATCAAAAATTATGCTGAAAATTTTTTCAGCCGTGTTCTAATCCATTCCTGGAAAAACAACTCCAAACATCGATTCGTAAACCTTGATTCGTCGCTGTCCTCGCTATAGACTAAGCGGCCTCAGCTTAATACAATACATAATACATTCTTTATCATTAACTTAACCTTAGTCGCTTGCGGACGAGGCACTACAACGCGTGTTGCCTAACTTGATAGTGGTGTAGGATGTAATAAGGCCACTCGGCTTAATAAAATTACATGATTTATTCTTAATCATTTACTAAGTCAAGACCAAGATCGCTGGCGACCGTGGCACTACATTGCGTGTTTCTCAACTTTGTATTGATGCGAAATACGGCAAGCGGCTTCGGCTTACCATGCTTACATAACTTATCCTTTGCCGTTAACTTGGCCGAGGCACAGAATAACCAGAAAGAACACTGATGCCGGTTCCGTTAATGTTGGAGGAACCGCATTTAAGTTTCTATTGTTGAATTTCAACGATTCACTTCTCATTTACTTTACTTTATAATATACAGGTTGTCCCGTATCGTAGGATACATTATTCTGAAGCGATTTTTCTAATAAAATTTTTCCGAAATGTTTATAATAACCGCACAGGAACTGTTTAAAGTTCGTCCAATAGTGATTAAACAAAAGCTGAGGGAAACGCCTTCGAAGATCGTAACTCACACTTAGGCAATCAGTCTCACCTCCGCATAGGGGTATTTGATACTCATTGTTGATCAAATTTGTTTTTGTATTTTATGTGTTTAAAATCGTCAGTAAACCTGTTTCAAAATTGAAAAGCGTAAATATAAGTAAAAATTATAGCAATTGAATGTAAATTTTATTAATGGACAAATTTGTGACCTGGAGTATGAAAAGGTGGATTATGAATATTTCAATACCTTTTTTTAATTTTTTGAAAATAATAAATTTTTTAAAAATCTAAGAACCAAACAAACTGAAATAAACTAAAATTGTTGTACCATAAATGTAGTCCTAATAAGTTAATCGGACTCGTTACATGAGCTATTCTAAGAAGAATCGTGTTCATCTTCTTCCTTGTGTTGAGGTTATTCTAGATGATGATGGTAGAAAGAGTTCAATCGTTTCTTTGGAAAAAGGTTTTGATGATTTTTTGGGTACGGACGTATACTTGTTAACAGAGGGTCAGAACTCAGCAATAATCGATTTAAAATATCTTTATTGCACATCTCTCGTGAAAATTTTCTTACAAAACCTTGCCGATATGTTCGGAAATGTTAATTCAGCAGCCTCCTCCGAAAGTTGTCCAATCGGTAATAAGGCATGCGAAATGATATCTGAACCATGCACTAAAATTTTCGGCGTACTTGGAGTCATCGGATGCCAGCTGTATAAACTTATATACAGTTTAGCTGTTTCTATGACATATTTTTCGAATTTACAAATATCAATTTCATACCCACTGCATATGGCCTCCAATATTATTTTTAACCTCTCAATCAACGTTTTGTCTACTTCGGTAATTTTAATATTCTTTTTATCGCTGTTATAATTCTATTATCTTCATCCGACCTTGCTTGCCATTTTTTGATTGGAATTTTATATGACAGGTGAAGAATGGACTCGAACAGGCGTAATTTTGCATGGAGAACAGAAATCCCTAATTGTAGTGATGCTGGGTTTACATCTTTCTTGTCCGATAGGTTGTTGAATTCTTTTGATGTTTTACCGCACAAATAGCAGCGCATCGTTGAAGCTGTGTTAGTTACACTATTACATATTTTCTCATCAATCATTGTAAATAACAATGTGTGACTAACCACAACATCAGATCCACTTTTTAACAATGTTTGAGTTTTTTGTAAGTCATTTATTTGGTTATTTATATATTGGGTTTCGTCATTGATGACATCTTTTGATTCTTTAATAAACCTTATTCTTATTGGTCGACAATATCTGAGGGAGGATGGTACTGGGTTTTTTCACAATATTTTGCCATTTTTGGCACTTAATCTGAGTGGTACAAAAGAGCTCTGAAAGATATTTCCATCAAAGTCAGTTTCATTTTCAAATTTCGAATAACATGGAAAGCGTTCCTTATCCGTATTTTTCACAAGATTGTATTGTATTCTTGTAAAACCTCCCTCCACAAACAGTGACAGAGCTGCTGTAGGAGACAGTTGCCGGATGTTATGTGCTTTAGCAGTCGATTTAAGGAATTTACTTATTATACTTCCTGGTGATCTTGTCACATCCTTTAAAATGTTGGAAGCATCTACTTTACCGCTGGCCCTCAAGTTCATTTGTGTCGCATATAACAATTTATCAGTTTTTGTTCTAAGGCTTAGCAGGATGTTGAAGCACAATATCACACAAAAATTTCTGGGTAAATGTCTTCAGATCTCTTGAACTACCTAGCACAAATTAAAAGGTGTAAGAATAGGATAGGATAGGATTTCATGTTCTTTACTTCTTTCTATGTTCTCTGATATAACTATAATAAAACTGTAACATAATAATAACATAACCTATGTATATTAATTCAAAAATTCATCTATAATTCGCCATAAATCAACAAACTTAAACTTCCTCTATACAGGGTGATTCACATAAGAACCGACACAGAGCAGGGACATATAGAGGACAATAAATTAAGATGATTTAAAGTAACTTACCTCTATACTAAGTTGTACACCTGAGGAGTTACAGGACTTCAAAGTTGGCTCTTAAATTTTTAAAAAGTTCAATATCTTCGTAATAAATTAAGCTAGAAAAACCAAATTTGGTATACGTTATGAGTGTACCAAGAGTATTAATTGGTAGCAAATTGAACTCAATTGAGGCATTTCAAAGTGTTGATTAAGAGTGATGGTACCTTAAATTTTGACAGATCTTTTTAACCTGTTGACGGATTTTATACATTACTACTTCATTTCATGTGGAATTTAATTCTAAAACTTTTTTTACTCTTATTATTTTTTAAAAAACTTTGTCGTTTTCATAAAAAACTTAAATAACTAAAGACACTTATTTCGTAATGTTACTTAAAATAAGCGAAAATTTAGTAGTCGGCTATGAAATTGTACGTCAAACTTGACAAATAGGTTATAAAATTATTTGACAACAAGGTTTTATAAACTATTTGTCAAGTTTGACGTACAATTTCACAGCCGACTACTGAATTTTCGATGATTTTAAGTAGCATTAACGAAATACGTGTCTTTAGTTATTTGAGTTTTCTATGAAATAATAAGAGTAAAAAAAATTTTAGAATTAAACTCCACATGAAATGAGGCAATAATGTGTTAAATCCACCAAAAGATTAAAAAAGTCTGTCAAAATTTAGGAGACCATCACCCTTAATCAACCCTTTGAAATGCCATAATTGGTCTCAATTTGCTACCAATTAATACCTTCAGTACACTCATAACGTATACCAAATTTGGTTTTTCTAGCTTAATGTATTACGAAGATATTCAATGATTTAAAAATTTAAGACCCAACTTTGAAGGCCTATAACTCCTCAGGGGTACAACTTAGTATAGAGATAAATTAAACCTGTATATTAAACCAAAACTCAACAAATATTAACATAACAGAATTTTGAAATTCATTCTTAAACAAATATAGGCAGTGTTTGCAAAAATTGTAGGTAGATATAATGGTTTTTAGGCCATAGCAACCAGTTAATAACAAAATACATACCTTCACTATCACGATTCATATTGAGATTTTTCGAAAATGCCTCAATTACTAACTTAAATTTGTAATTAAAATTACAGTTTTTTATAAACACTAAAAAGTTGTACCTCACAACGTAAACGTTCAAGAAATTCAAACTGACACTGTTAAGCAACCGCGTAAAATGGCGTCTTAAAACAATTGCCGGTGAATGTGGCTGGCACCTATAGTATTATTATTTAGAACCATTACATCTATTCAATTACGTATTCAAAAAATCTGAGTTTTGATCAACTTTTCGTATCGAATACCCGTTTTAAACTAGTTTCGCACGTGTACTCACCAATAGATTCGACACGGAAAGAGAAATAAACTTTTTCCGTGAATTTAAAATCTAATCTTTAAACAATTTCCGTGCGGTTATCATAAACATTTCGGTACAATGCATTATACAACCGTATAATGCTCTGATGCGGAAGATACGGGACACCTATATATATACCTAGATTTGCTAATTTTAAGGTTACACTTCAACTCCTAATTCCTACACAGTAAAAAATAATTACATGGTCCAGTACTGGTAATTTATTGCCATGGATATTCATAAAAAGTTACACGTATGTAATAGCAAAATAAATGCATATCTAAACAAGCGCATTTTCCATTTCCATGTTTGTACTTTTCGTTTGTGATTGATGTAATTTTACTTCATAACCCAGGTAATGTACATGTATTAACAGGTAAAAATGACTATATTTATATGTAAAATTACTTGTGCTATGAATATTGTAATTCGTCTGCTATGTAATAATTCATTATTCAGCCCTGTACATTTACATAATTTTAAGCCAAAACATATCCAAATTCGTTTTATGTCCAAATTATGAAAGCCAATAGTTTTTCCACCATTGCTATAATGTTTTACAGACAGAAGCATTAAAAGAATAGTGGAAAAAGTGTAAACTTTTACAATTTTAACAGACAGCAAACTTGGAACACAAAAACTTTGTGTACAACCTGTATACGTACTAACGGGCACCAAACAACCAAACACTAAATGGACAGATTAAAGCGGTTTATTATTATTATTATTATAAGAGAACGCGTATAACGTTCGACGATTCATATGTTATTAGACTGTACTTGGCACAATGATGTCAACGCGTTGTGCGTAGTTGCAACGCTATTCGGCCGACTGAACGCAGAAAGTGGTGGTGGGGCCATGCCGTTTTTTATATGTTCGTAATAGTAATTTTTAACAATATTACATGATTTCCCAATTTATTAAATACATTTACATTGTTTTACTTGATTTTCCATTTATTTACAGGTTTTTCCTATAGTTTACATTGCTTTGTGTAATTCATATTAAAAAAATGTAATATTTTGTAAATTTACTAATTTCCTGTAATTTTACTTGGTATTAACTGGATTTCGAAAATTACGTTTTAATTCATGTATTATTTCATAAGTCAATCTTGTAGTTTATTGTAGTATAATGTATTTTTACATCCATTTTTTACCGTGTACTATTACTCATTGACAGAAATGATAGTAATATTATGGTTACAGATTATTATTGAAGATTATCTTTCAGGAAGAATTTCCACTCAAATTGAAGTCTTTTAAGTGGTTATCTGCGCTTGAAGTGAACTTAAACTTGTCTAGCATCTTTAGAACCGCACGCTGGGAACGTCAACCTTTTTAACTGCTAACAAGATCTCTTTAATATCTAAAGCATAGATAATACGAAAGGGCCGTGTACACGGGGTTCAATGGGATAGCGGTGATTTAAAAGGGATTAGTGTAGAATTATTACCGGGCAGTAGGGAATCTCCTTTTTTTCCGTTTTTCTACGTATATGAAAAAAATTGTGGAATGGTATCGTCGATAACAAGCTAAAATGTTCTAATTTAAATCCGGCTTTATAAGATGAATGAAACGGGGGAGATGAGAATGGTAATTGCAAGTCTTGTGATTTCATAGCATCCAGAGAGAGAAAAAGTTAATTACCGCCCTTCTACTGAATTAAAAAAAAACTAAAGTTACAGTATTGATTTTACAATAATTATGCATTTTTTTAAGTCTTTAGTAAATGTTAGAAAAAATTAAACGCTTTCAGTTTTCGCAGAAGTAAACTAATATTTTTCATGAAAACACTTTTGCAGTTCCATTAAATCGCTGATACCGCATTGAAACACCCGCCGCAGGGAGCATACCAAAGCGTTTCAATGGAAAAAGGAAGTGGCACGTCGGTTCGTACGTTTATTTAGTTGCGACTTCCGGCGTTTTCGGTCCGAACTAAATTGACACGGGGTTGATATGATACCGCCCTTGAACTTACCCCATCTCTTCGAGCACTGAGTGAATGAGAAGGCATTTCAAATTCAGATCAGGGATTTTCGATGGGCGCACACGGAAAAGTCAAATTTAATATATCGCTATCATTGAAATGGAAATATATATATATATATCAAGAATTCCACATACCAAAAATGTTCATTAATGGTTATACACTCATTCAGTTTGCCAGATCGTTAGTTGCTAATGAAATTAATACAGTTTACGAGTTAATTTTTATTTAAAAAAGTTTCTTATTTTAATTCTATATCGAATAACGTTCATATTTCGTTGGGAAATTAATGAAAACTTTTTCGTATTTCTTTCATTGACTTCGTTAAAACTTTTCCTAAGTATTATTCAGATTAATGAATATTCCAAGAAATATTCGAGGAAATACATTTTAATTTTTCTATTTTAAAGATTCCAACAACAGATCGGTGAACTCGTTTCCGAACACGAACGTCAACTTAGAAGGACAGCTGAGGTCGAGGAAAAAAGCAGCCAAGATGCTCGTCGCTGTCGTGGTTATGTTTGCAGTTTGCTACTTTCCGGTGCATTTGCTGAACGCGCTCAGGTAAGTGCACCCGCAAAGCTCCAGCTTTTGGAGGACAACCCTTTTGCTTCACGCACGGATTTACTTACTTTTTCTCTTCGACGACAACATGTGAGCATCATATAAAAAAGCTACTTTACATGAACATTCTGTTTTACTACGGCAAGTTTTAGTACTAAACCTAAAGCCTCTTTCTACGTGAAATGATACATTTACTTCCAAAATTTAAGATTTCTTAACAGCGAATATAAAATGTGTTTTATTTCAGTTCGAGTGGAGTTGTAGATTAAAATTTTACGTTTTACTTTTGACAGTTCTAATAAGATTTTGTGTAACATTTGTATATTATGTAGCGTCCTTTAAATATTTAATACTTTGTAATTTGTATTGAATTTTTGTGAAAGTGATACTGAAATTAATTACGAGTAAACTACTTGTAAATGTGATATTCGAAACCAATTAATCGAGGATTATTGGTTCGTATAGTTCTATCATTGCATATTGCAGAGAATATGATGAATTGAGCTGCAGTAAATTGACGAACTACTTCTTTATACATATAATTAACAACTAATTTTTATTAATTTTCCAAAAGTTATTAAAATTATCAATTCATTTAATGTAATTGGTCAGAAATGTTTCTTTTATATGTTACGGCTATCGATATGAAGAAAAGAATAGCTATTTATGTTATATTAAGGAGAAACAGAGCGTCATCGTTGTTGAAAATCTACTTGGTTTCATCAAAACCTTTTTTTATTTTTGATCCTGATAAACAAAATTTACCCAACCTTACCTATCATTTATTCCAGGGATGATTGACATTTCAAAAGAAAACTAACCTTACCCAACATTCTTTACCTGGATGATTGACATTTCAAAAGAAAGCCAGCCCAACATTACCCAACATTCTTTATCTGGGTGATTGATATTTCAAAGGAAAATTAACCTTACATACATACCCTATTACAACCTGTAACCTTACATAAAATATTACAATAAGCTTTACCGCTGTTCTTTTATCGAACGGTTGCTAAGATATTGATCTCTAAATTGAAGGGCCATGACTTTAGGCAGGGACTGACTATTGTTCACCCGTGGTAGGAGCATATGGGGAAGACCATCTAAATAATAATAGAACCAGACTGATCGATGTACTTATGTGAGACTCATGAATTAAGAATTATGGACGGGTGGTTTCATAGCCATGTGTGCAAATACACATGGAGAGAAGAAAATCGAAAACGTTGCACTATTACGGACTACGTAATTCTAAAACAACAAAGCTAGTTAAAGGCAAAAATGTACGCGTATTTAGAGGTATGGGTTGTGGCAATGATTATTACTTACTGATTAGAGAGATTTTGACTTAGTGATAAGCATAGCTGTATAAACGTAGACTAGATAACATATTGGACGAAGTAGCAATTGCAAAAAAGACCAACCACCTAAAAGAAGCCATTCACAGTGTAGTTGATAACAAACAAAACAGTACGAAAAATGATAGAACTCACAAGATATAGAAGATAAAATACGATACGAAGAAGCCTAAAACGCTGTAAAAAAGAAAATAATACAGAATAGAAATGAGCATTGGGGAGAACATGCAGAGACAGAGATAATAACATTGGCGGAAGAAGATTACAGGTAGCGTGGAACGTTTCAAAAATACTAAGAACAAATAAACAGGATAGACACTTTATAACACATGTTAATACACCTTAACTAGTTAGTATGAACGATTACCTCAGGAGGACAGAGTAGAATACTTGGAAGCAGGATATAATGAATAGATATAACAGGAGGTATCTAATCGGAACAGCTCCAGGACTGGGAAACATATACAGGTGCTCTAAAATTCCCCTTACAAACTTCTAGGACTTGTAGAGGCGACTAAGTAGATAATATTTTGAATTGGAACTAATGTACAAAAACGTGTCCGAGCTACAGCCGTTTGAAAACTGTACTTATTTCGGACGACGTGATGTCAATTGATGTCTCTTACCTCTCAGAGCTGGTTTGAGTCTCATTCACATGTCAACATGGTGAAGTGGATTCCTGAATTGGAAGAGGCGATGCTGCATTGCGTTGAAGAAAACCTGGAAAGTTCTTTATGAACAACAATTACATCCATGCCACTTCCAAAGAATACATTCACTACAGTTGATTTTACACCACGCTGCGTTATTTTACTGGAGATTGTGTTCTCAATTTTCGAAACAACCATGTCTGAACAGACAAAACCCTCATGCCACGCGTGTCAAGGGATACCAAAACAGATTTGTTATCAATGTGTAGGCGGACATTCTGGATGGTAATGCGATTGGACCGTAGATTTTTCCATCCAAGCTAAAGGGTCCCATCTAGTTGATCTTCCTACAACAATATTAGACGTGTTGTTAGATGGTGTTATTGAACGTCCGTCAAGACATGTGGTTTCAGCATGATGACGTACCCATCACTTTTCACTTCGTATTCGGAAACATCTAATCACATTCGACCGAGGTGGTCGAATCGCATGCGTTTTCCTCTGGGGTTATATGAAGAATTTTGTTTATGAGACTCCTGTAGAGACAGAAGAAGATCTGTTAGCACGAGTTGTGGTCGCTGCAGGACAGATTACAGAAACACCGCGTGTGATAGAGCGAGTTTACCAGAACATAATTCGTAGGTAGTATACGTGCAACAAAGTTGGTGGTCGTCACATCGAACCCCACTTGTAGTGGATCAGAATGATAACCATCCTTTGAAACGGAGAAAGACAGTTTAAGTAACTATAAATAAAATTGTTTGTGAAAAATGATTCATTTTCGTTTTTGTTTTTTGGTTATTAATAATTTGAATTGTCAAACAAGTTATGTTTAATCATGTATGATAAATCACTTGTAAAAGTGGTAGCGTTATAAACATAAGTTCTAATTCAAAATATTTTCTACTCAGTACTCTCTACAAGTCCTAGAAGTTTGTAACGAATATATTAGAGCATACTGTGTATAGAACTGACCAAAGAGCCATCAGAAAAACTGTTAGAATATTGATAAAATACCTAACGACTGGAAAAAGTCATAGATCATATCAATATACAAAGAACGACAAAAGATCGTATAGGATCTATAGGCCTATAGCAATAATGAATATATTCAGTGGAATTTATGTAAGACTTCTGACGCAGATAATTGACAAAGAATACGGACAATGTTTTCTGTTTGAGTAAAAAAACAAATATTTGTTGTATGAAACAACAAATATAAACCACAAAGTCATAACGCGTTGCAGAATCTGGGGTAGCTATTTAAAACTAGTAAAGAACTCGGCCAAGAATGCTACTCATCACCTAGTCTTTTCAGAATCTACGTAGATGGGGCGCTTAAACACTGGAAAAGGAGCACAAAGCCACACAAGTTACATTACGCAGATAACAATGGCCCATAACTCTCACGTAAATATCTTTCGATATTTGGAAATGTTTTTCTATCAGGTTGTCTTTACTAATCAATTTGTTTCCATATGCATCTACGATTAATGAAAACATTCCAAAATCGAGGTTGTATCTTTTTGCAAACATCTCGAAAACGATGCGTCTAATCAAAAGAGTGAATATCATTTTAAAATGAAATAGGCTTTTAGAACAAGTTAGAAAATTTAAGGGTTTATGACATAATACAAAAAATTTAAAGAAATAACCTTTGTGAACACCCTGTATAGCACTGATCCCGTGGATTGATATTTTCAATAGTGATCTTAAACGATTTCTTATGATAACATTGCACTGTTTGCTAAATTTAGTCTGTCTAAGACAAACCATATTGAAAATATTTAAGAGTGTTTGAAAATTTCTTAACTTTGAAGGCCATATCTTAGCCAATTATGGGTTTAGATCAAAAGTTTTTACACGAATCGTCATTCTTTTTGCTGTACTATTTGTGATTAAAAGTATGCCACGACTTACAGAAACAGCCCTCTATACATACAACAAAGCTTGCGTAAAGTAATTTTCAACAAACTTCACAACCTAACACATCTTGGTATTCGCGCAACTATACACATCATCAATACACGATTCTGTTGGCGTCACATGAGAAAACACAATCATTTATGGTCAAAAACCTACTTGCAATGTCAACAAGCAACAGTATGTACACAAACACATAAGATCACCTGTTAGCACAATTCCGGTACCAAAATTAAGATTTGTCCACATTCACATTGATTTGCTCTGTCCTCTCACTCCCTCCCTTGGCTACTCATATGTACAGGTATCCCAAATTCGTACTATACCTATAGTATGTTTACTCAACGAACCTTGGTCCTTTCTAAAACGATTGTATGTATTTAAAATAAACTATACAGTGTGGGGCAAAAATAATCAATAAATTCAATAAAACCCTTATAAACATTGTCTTGCAAAAATGGCAAAACAAGTCTATATTATTCTTAAAAAATCCATGATTTAGAGATATAATTTAATAATAAAGACAAAAAGGCGTCTTCTTCTCTAAATATTATATTTCAGTTATATGGTACCGGTTTCGGCATGTTTACATGTCATCATCAGCCAAATCTACAAAGCATCACAAAAGAGGAACAATAAAATCAATTATATTTCTCAAAAAATATTAGAAAATCTTTAACTTACACTTATAAAGAGGTCACAACGTAAGGACATACAAAATCACTAGAAAAATGACAGTAACAATGTAAAAACTTTACAATAAAACGAACAGATTAAAACTTTTATAAATTAAAAAGACCTTTCATGAAAACACATGCGATACAACTGACAACTAGTTCTCGATTTCGAACGGAAAATTTATACTGTCGTAAACAGGTTATAAATATGATATAAAATTAAAACAAAAAAGAGTTGGAACTAAAAATAAGGAAAATCTAATGCTTTAAAAAACGTACAAAGGCTTATAAAAATTTTCTAATTGATCATTTAGTAGGTGAGAATTATTTCTATATTTAACTTTATCGATTTCAAAAACCCTCCAAAAAATCCATTCTCACACCCTTATCGC